ATAAATAATGTAAGTAACGCGTAAGGATTACAACATTTTAATACTAGAGAAAACAAATTTTAAAATAAAAATTGCCGAGAGTTTCAATCGAATTATAGCTTTGGCAGCCACATGCGTGTAAACTTTATGATATAACTTTCAAGAATCGCCTTTAAAAATACGGATTGCACGCGTTTTAAGATTACTATACCGCTAATACGCTTCCAGTTTTACAATCGGAGGCCGTAAAAATGTTCTCTTAAAGTTTTTTATTTTTTGTTTTTTGTTTTTGCTGTATATAGGCTGTATATCGTGGGGGTTATGGCGAATTTTACAACTTGTGACTGATTTTATGGAGCCGCCAATTGGTAGGCGAACGGGAGCGAGGAATTTTTTTGGGATGCATTTTCTGAATTCTAGAGCCGCGAAATTTTATAATAGAACTACAAAAGGAAATTCTGTGAAATTTACAAGTACCGAATGACAGCCTCGTTGGGTGGGTACCTATATACTAAATATACTAAAACTATGTTTGCAAGGAACTGGAAGTCGGCGAAATTATTAACGAATTATTTTTTTCCTAAGGATTTATATAAGTTTGATAGGAAAAATTTTATAAAATGTTACTTGGCATATCATTCCATAAAGGTACAATAATTACTTTGTCGTAGTCTGAAACATCTTCGAACCCAAATCTTAAAATGTATTATGGTGTAATACACACGTACACATGGATTTCATGGATATATCACGGATTATCGAACATTTTAATTTCCATGAAATCCGTTCTGAGTAAGTCTTTACAGCATAAAATAAAAGTCGCATATTTTTATGATTTACAACACATTTATGACATCGCTTTCTTATTTTATTGTAATTTATTTGCAATGAAAGCCGATCATTTTCATTTTATATCTCCTTCATATTTTGTTTAAGTTCCCAAAGCCCTTCGACCATCTACAGTTGCACGGGCTAGTTCTGGGTTTCCTATAGTCTATTAACTCTTATACGCCTTCCTTACAGTTTGTAGCAGTAGAGCTCCCTGTGAAAGAGTTCGTCCAAAGAAGTACGGCCACCTTACCTATTTCTGCCGCCAAGCTGTAGCGTGAGCATTACTGTGTTCCGGTTTTGTAGGGACTTGGGATTTTTCAACCTATGTCTCAACGTGACAGTGGCAGTGCCCCTAAGATCTTTGCGATTTAAATCTCTGAGTGGCACTACAACTGTTATGGATAGGCATGTCGCTTACCACCAGGCGCACGACTTGTTCGTTCCATCACTTGATATTAAAAAAAACGAAATAAGTTTAATGCAATTGTCTTGCTTGTTCTTTTGTAGGTTGTTCACATCTTTCATTTGAAACACAGTAGAGTAGGCACTGTTAAAACGGTGTTATCTGGCACCTTTTGTTTTTAATCGCCTTTAAAAAAAGAGAATTGTAGCGGACTGTATCAATCGGTTAAAAGGTGGGTGCTAACAACCAATGAGCAAGGCCAAGCAAATGTACTTACAGATTTTAATAATTTACTAAAAAGCACGTTGTCGCTATCAAAGCAAAACAGCAAACACAATCTGAAGTCAAGAAAAAGGCGCCAAAAACAAACACATTTAAATTTAGAATTTAAATATAAAACTAAGCTTAAAAAAGACTATATTATAAAATGTATACAAAGAGATTTGTAGCGATGCGCTACAAGGAAGTTCTCAATTTGACTGTATTATTTGGATGTATGTTACGCGATTACTCTGACATTTGTGAACCGATTTGGATGATTTTTTTTTAAATAGTGGTAGTCTCATTTAAATTTAAAGAACATAGTCCACCTCTAAGGGTGGCAAATTACGGGATATAAACTTGATAAATAGATGTAATTTAAATGTAGTTAAATGCTGATCTGATGATGGAAATGGCAGACAGATGAGAGGAACTCCTCAACAGTGTACAGCAGCTACCCCGTGTTTGTATTCAAATAATTCGTTTTGACGAGGACTTCCATACGTAGTTATAGTTGAGGAGGCCGGGGTTACGAACACAGCGAAAGTGTGTAAGCAAACTTTTGAAGTAGGTTTTTTTAACCGACTTGAAAAAGGACTCAATTCGACTGTATTTTTGTTTGTATGTTACGCGAGAATTCTTTTTTTGTGAACCGATTTTGATGATTCTTTTTTGTTGGATAGAGGGTACCTCAGTGCTGGTCCCATATAAATTTGAAAAAAATATTCCACCTCTAAGGGTGGCAAACTTGGGGATGAATCCAGTTTCGCACTCTTTCCGGTAACCAATTTCAATAAAACTTGGCAAATAGATCCAATTCTACGAACTTTTGAGGTCGGGTTTTTTGTTATAAAAAAGTTTTAATAAGAAACGAGTACGACCCTGCACCCACCACACGCAATACAGGCGCCTGGACGTCGAGTGGTGGACACTAGCCCGTTACACCAAGTACCAAGTACCAAGATTATCGAGGTTATACCTACTCCATGAGTGAGAGTTATTTTAAAATACTAACAATCTCGCAATGTCTCTACCGTGAGATTACGGTGATAGTTATCGCTAGTGACCGCGTAAAATGTTTGCATGCAAAATGTTGTTTCATCTTATGACCGCCAGAGTCTATAGATATAATGTAAGTGCGTATTTGATCTCCATATCACCTGATGGAAAGTGACGATGACATCAACGATGGAGCATGCACACCTAAATATAATGCCTATTCATTCTCGCATTGAAAAGGCTGAAGTTATAACGTTCAGGGAATATGTCTTTGCCTTACAAAGTTGTGACGTAATTTACGCGGTCCCTAGCGACAACCATCACCTCGTGGTCTCTACCACAAGTTTCCTTTGGTAAATTTATGACGTTTTGTAAAATGACATGGAATAAAAGTTGTTGTTTATGATGTTAGTACAGGGACATGTTACGTTGACATATATAAATCAGACGTTATAATTGTATATGATGCATTTCGACGTCGAAAACATAAACATATTATTGTCTTTGTTTAACTATTACGTGCCGTCTTAAGCCAAAAGAGATAGCATTACATTGGTCTGTGTCAAACACGGGAATCGAAAATTCGTAACGTCATTTTAAATGCCAACCGTGGCCATTTCAAGTACATGAGGTACATGATACCGTTGTCAAAGGGAAGTACATCAAATGTCAAAACAAATGTTTTTCCAAATGTAGTATTGAATTATTCACATGTATTATAATTAAATTGGACAAAAATATTGACAGTGAGAATAATTAGGTATTAATAAAAATGCGACGCTGCAGCATTAAAGGATGCGGCTTTAGAAAAACTGCAAATCAATCGAATGTTACATTGCACAGGCATGTGTTATTTTTTTGTCTATAAATCACACAATAGCCCGAATATTTTATGTAATTAGACTTATTTAAGTAGTTTATTTATAAATCTTGCCAAATATTGCTTTTGTTACTTTAGATTGCCTGTTTGTTTGTATATTTTGATGATTGTTGTTAACGATTATTTTGAGATAGTGTTGATCTTGTAAGCATACATATTATCGATATTCTGTTATTAAAACAATTCACTATGAGGTTTTTATTGTTTTATTATTATTATTTGAAGTTTTCCTACAAATGAAAAAAGGAAGAAAGAATGGTTAAATATGTACTAAAATGTACGTTAAAGGCGTACCTCTTAAAGTAATTTTTATATTTTATTTAGTAAGTACAATTAATACTACGTAATGTTAAATACAAGTAAAGTAGGTATAATTAAGCAAGAATGCGCATGTCGCCAACAAACTGCACAGCAGTTTGGTGACTTTTACTAAATAAGTTACCAGTTGTAATGTTGAAAATAAATTTTTTTTGAAGTTTAAAAATGTGTGTTGACAATAAAAATAATATACCACTCGAGATTAAATTATCAGACTTGTGTATGTTTAGGCATACTTTGGTTACAGTAAACTAAAGAAACAAAAATTCAAGCCATACATTTGCATGTCGATAATGACTTATCGATAGATTATGGTACAACACTAAAGAAATCCGCCATTTGTAACTTTCAAATTTTGGTAATATGCACGTTGATTCTGTACTTAGGGCAGCTCCTTTCTTTTATTTTTTTCCATTTTTTCCATCCTCTAAGGTCAAGACACGTCAAGCTTGACACTTAAGATTTAAATCCAACTCTATGCCGCTTACGATAAGAACGGTCCAAAATGTACGAGTAATATATATAGTCTTGTAATATAATATTTGACATTTTACAAAACAATAAATTCACCAAAAACAAACTTTTAAGGTTTTGTTTTTACTATCTGACACTTTTTAGATCTATATTTGGTAGTAAGGTAAGTTCAAACATGCAAGCGTCCTCTAAGACCATCCTTTAAGCGTAATCTGATTAATTATTAAAAGTCATGGAACCATAATGTATGTTATAGTGGAATGTTTTGTTTTTTTTTGTGCTTTTCAAACTTAATAAATAAGTAATAAAGTACTGCTAGAATAACCCGGTATTATAGCACTAAATTTTAATTAAATATTTTCATTACAATGTACAGACGGCTTTTACGTGATCATAACCGTAATATTGCCAGGGTCTGAATCACTTCACATATTATTTCACGTTTTAATGTACACGGGACCTTAGGAGGATATATAATTGGATGCAATTTTCTACACTTATCTATGTCCTTTTTAATATTAAAAAAAATTAAGTCAATGTCAGAACCACGAAACAAATTCTGTAGTGTGCAATTTTATTTAGTTACAAAAAGTAAATTTTTTATTCCATTATCTTATTTTTATAGGAATTGTCTTTATTATACAAATAGTACACGCACAAATTGCTATTGATCGTTGTAGATGCAATGATTATTTGGAAGCTGTTAGAACTCTTATGATATTTACGGCAAACAGTAGTGTTAGTTGCGAAAGATTGGAAAATTGTGATTGTGAGCTATAAGGGTCTTCCATCTATTAATTTCCAAAAGCTTAGAGTCCTGAAGTGTGAATTCTTAGTCTACACCATACACGCCGCACTTGGTTTCATTGCGCTACAGGGTACGCGAAAAGGTTATTGGTTGCAGGACGAAATAATGAGTTGACATGGTCAATTGGCAGAAATATTTGTCAACTTATGATTCAGGGTGACGGCCGCAGTGACAGTATCCTTCAGATCTTTCTGGTGTAAAGCTTCGAGCGGCACTGCAACTGTTATGAACAGGCTTGTCGCTTACCACCAGGTACACGACGTGTTCGTCCCGTCGCTTGGTACTTTAAAAAAGATGCGGCATATTGTTCCTTAACGATCTAACAGATATAACTTGCAATTTTATTAATAATGAATTATGTACATCGTAACATGGAACACGAAATTGTAATTCAATTATGTAAGTCAGGGTACAATTTTTTTTAATTATCACAATCGAGCAAAGCTCGTTGAGTAATTTATCTCTATATTCTTAGGAAAGCGTGAAACGCAAATTGCGCCTATGGTGTAATAAGGCCACATCTGTAAAATAACAATTTTGCAGGTGGACTGTTAATGTCTGCGAACAAATTTTTTATACTAAATATAATAATACCCTGTATGAAATGGTGCTAGTAGGCCCGATGGGCCAGACCTCCCAAATACTAGCTGGATCCACTTGACTCCATCCAACGTCAAGCTGTTCGTGTTGTCGATGAACCCAAATTCACAGACGGTATGGAGTCCCTTTGTCTACAGAGAGACGTTGGCTCTATAGGTGTTTTCTACTGTCTTTATAATGTGGTGTTCAGAGGAAATCCTTTGAAATTTTCTACCACCGCACCTCCCACTAATCGAGTAGAGCCCATCTCCACATCATTTACGCGTTGAATCCTTTCTCGAACCTAAAATATGTGAAATAGTGTCCCTACTGAAGTATTTCTTTTGCGCTCTATGATATGGGACTCTTCAAAAAGCGTGTCAACAGGGTTCTCAAAGGCTGGCAACGCATAAGCAGCTCATGTAGCTCGTCTATTCGTTTGCCTCCTACTTTACATTAAAAAAAATGAGAGTTATAAACTTGCACATTTTCGTATAAAAGCACTTTTAGCATAGTATAATCAAATGTGGCTTTGTTACACCAAGAGTAGAAGTATTCAACGTGATTATTAAACAGAGTACTGAAGGATTGCATTCTTCACTTCCCGTCATCGCTGACCGTAATTCCAGTACCGATCAATTTTTTGTTTGTATAATCCAAGTATTAAAATTGCGGTGTGTAAGGTGCTAAGATGTGCAAGAGCTTATAGATAGGCTTATAGACTTATGACTTGGACTAAAACCTTGAAAGGAAATTAACGTGAAATGTGAAATATAATATCTGCTAATATACAACCGGTAGCAGAGAAACTTGACCCCATTTGATGTTGGTTGTACACTATACCGACTGAAATTTAAATTTAAATTTACCGTAGTATTGCATCAGTCAGTTCTAAAGAAAAAATAATATGTGCTGCTATTTGTATTATTGCCTTAAATACGCAGCCGGTTGCGCACATAAACCTGATGGGCGCGACGACTGATTATTGGGAAACAAGTATATTGTTCAAAGTTCCAAATTTGAAACTTATAGGGACGTGAAGCCATACATTTTAAATTGTGCAGTCATACATATTCTTGTACATGAAAATTCTTAGTGTATGAATTATTGTCGTACACAATTTGAATGGGAAGTTAGGTAAGAATAAGAAATACGCTTTGAAAAAGGTTTTGTTAATCTTATTCCGAATATTTCGTTATTTTACTTTATGGATTGAAATGACAATAAGAGTCAACATATTTAGAATAAGAATAAATATTTATGATAATTATGTACTATCAGCAAACTCGACAAGTTAATACCTCAAGGATTATTTTTACGTGCCACCAACGGAGCACCCAGAGGCGGTCACCCATAGCTTACTCGTTCTTATCAAACAATGGCGTTTAAAGACTAAATCATATTTATTACAAGGAATAAGTTTTCACAAAAAAAGTCAACAAAATAAAGGACGAGGCTAGCTATAAACTCCGCTTGCCAACAAAACTCTTTTGAGAGTGGGAGGGCTTCAACTTCGCTGATAGTACATCTGCGTTTTGAGGTGCAGATTCGCGTTGGGTACTAATTAAACGGGGCCGTTTAACACGGAATATAAGTTGCATTTTTATAACAAAAACTGGTTTACATGGTTCGGTTTAGAATTGTCCTATGTTATAATGTAAATAATTAATTTCGGTCGAAATTTTAAGTTGAATTATGACATGTGACGTAAGTTCAATTAAAGGACTATCCGCACATATCCGGGCCGTGCCCGGGACGTGGACGGGGGCCGGCCCGGCACGGACATGCGTGAACGAGTCCATACAAAATATACACAACGATATGTTTTTGAGCCCCTGACAGAGCACGGCCCGTCCACGTCCCGGCCACGTCCCGGATATGTGTGGATAGACCTTTACAGTGCGGCGGAACGAAATAGAAGTTATATTTTGTAAAGAAATCAAATAATTTAGGAGTCCGTGGCTACACCTGGAAACCTGCTCCACCAACAAGAGTCGGTTATTATTTAATTTTAACTAAGTAGACACGATACAGTAGCTGCGGACATTCCCGAGACTACGCGAGAAGTTTGTATGTCACTCATTTGAAAAGTTTATTATGCTATGGTTCCAAAAATCGCTTCCATTCTGTACCTCGGGATGGTAAATTGAGCGTTACCACCTAAACGGTTCTGTATTGTGTATAGGCAACGGCGATCAGTAGCGACCATTGCTCGTTCAAGTTCATATTTTGTACTACAACCAAAAGGTTGTATTTATCTCCATATTATCTCCACCTGCAAACAAAACTGTTTTGGAAAAGAAAAAAAGGTATTCATTTTGCTGATAGTACATCAAACGAAACTTCGGTTTGATCTCAATTTTACCGAACTCCCTTTGCAGAGTATGTCCATCTTGACTTTCCTTAAAGATTTCTAGAATAAAATCGTAACCCATTTGCAGGAACTGGACTTGTGGTGAGGTGTGCTCCTACTGCAATAAACTACGACGATCTAAACCTGGATAAGCCTATAGTGAAATTACCGTATGTAGACAAGAAATCCATTGCTGCTAAGTTCTATGGAGAAATGTGGTGTACATATATGAAGAACTCTCGAAAAAATTGACGTATTGACTTCGTGTAAAATCATCACTTCATCAGTCACTTCACAACGGTGATTGACTATTTAGAACTTTTCTGTAAAGAACATTGTGATTGGTCTCATAACATCACGATATCTTAATACAGATTCGAGCAGTATTTTTTTTATTCTACTATCAACTTTGTTCCGTTTCCTTTGGACACAATCAACGACACAGAAAAATAATATTATCTGCTTTTTAATAATAGTGGTAAATAAAATGCAACAAAAGAAACGAATAACACACTTAGCAACAAAACTGAAACAATCGAAGAAAAAATATTTCTTAAAGTTGACTAAGGATAATATTTCTTTGGCAAAAAGCAAGATTACAATATTTATATCTAAGATGTGTCACGGATTGAGAACACGAATTTTTTAATTTTTTCAATCGAAGAACAAATATTTCTTAAAGTTGACTAACCCAACAATGTTGACTAAGGATAATGTTTCTTTTACAAAAAGCAAGATTGCAATATTTATATCTAAGATGTGTCACGGCTTGAGAACGCGATTTTTTTAATTTTTTGTTGTTTGTTATTGTTTAAACATATTTCAATATTATATTATTGATTAGGCGTGTCTTTTTTTTTTTGTTATTAATAAAACGATTGCGTAAGCTTTATTTTGTTTAATATCGTCTCAGAGAATGTTCTCATAATTATATCTAGAAAAAGAATTTGGAAAAAGAAGCACAAAAGTTTTCATTCACAATTCATTTATTTATGCTCGGAGTTTCACTTAATGATAACATTCGAAATGATCCGACACAGAGCCAAAGTTGTCGACATAGTTGGTAGAAAAAGCAAGCTGAAATGACAATGTGCTGGCCCTGACCAACCTGACCATATTTGTTGAAGAACCGATAACTGATAGAGGAAACGAGTTGTTGGGTGGAGATCACGACTTAGCAAACATAGTATAGCACTACCTCTAGGTTGATGATCTGCGAAAAGCTGCTGGCAGCAGACGGTTGTGAGAACCAGGCCATGTGACGCACATTGGGAGAGCCCTATATCCAGCAGTGTATTGCGATTTGAGATACTGATTAATTAATTTATTTAGAACAATCATCAAGTCATACACTTAATAAATTGATATCAGATTACACAATACAAATGGACTAGTACTAAAGTGTTGCCTCAATTGACGTTATCAACGCAAAAGTGGTGTAAGCAACATTTCATTTAATTTCAAGGTCAAATATTAATTCGATCTTTGTATTAGTAATTATTACAAACTAGTAATAGGAATAATGTCACAAAAATAATTTTATATCATGGTGGTCAAACATCGGATGCCAATAACCAATTCACAATTAGTTCACCTAGGTGCATTAAGTACACTTTTAGTAAACTTAAACCAGCTGGGTGCATTAGATAAACATAAAAGTAAACTGTATTCACCCCGAAATTTAAGGACACCAGGATTCAACTCGTTACATGGTACAGATACGGTAAAAAATTCGTGATGAAATCTGCATGTCGAAGAAAGTTCACAATGAAGTCCCTCATCTGCATTGGACTAGCATGGCGAGCTACGGCCTAAACCCTCGCATGACAGGAGACTCCACTCAGCAGTGGACCGTACAAATAGGTTACAGTATGATGAGTCTTCTGAGTAACGTCCCGACCGTTATTCTGATATGCATACTCATAGAAACTCAAAGAAATTTGTAGAGCTCCTTGTGAAAGAGTTCGTCCAGGGAAGTACTGCCACCTTACCTATTTCTGCCGCCAAGCAGTAAGTTCAAGTAGCTCTTTAGAGAGCTAACGTTGACCAACTTCGGACGCTAACTAACCACTTGTACTGCATTTATTGTTCTGTGATTATGACCATATCTTTTTCTTTTTTAGAATATCAAGTGTCCAGTGTAAATGTCCATGCAGTGCCACTCAGAGCTTTAAATCGCAAAGATTTGAAGGGCACTGCCACTGCGCCCGTCACCCTGAGACATAAGTTGACAAGTCCCGTGTGCCTGTAATTTCACCAGCATCCTTACCCTTCAAAGCGGAACACAGTAATACTGACATTACTATTTGGCGGCAGAAATAGGTAAGGTGGCAGTACTACCCTGGACGAACTCTTTCACAAGGAGCTCTACTACCTACTACTACTACCCTACGGGGTCTATAATACGCTGTTACCTTAGCTTTAAATACAATAAAGAATTTAATTGAATTAACCTTTTTTAATTCTCGCCTGAGAGGAGATCCGTGCTCAGCAGTGGGATGTATAAATGGGTTGATGATGAAGTAAAGTACTTACGTACTGATATTTTTATACCAGCTTCGCGCATTGGTATCTCGATTATGGGATGTACGTACGTAGTACTTAAGTTATTATTGTAGATGCAAATCTTTTTTCAGACATTGACAGTTTTCGTAAATTGACATTTCAGAAATTTATAATCACAGTCTTGGTTACCTATGTCAATTTGTATATGTAAAAATAATAATTATTATAAATATAATCCATTTATAATTATTTGTATCATTACTTCAAAATGGACCGATGTCGTTGCCAGGATTACGAGGAAGCTGTTAAGCAATTGAGGTTCTACACTGTCGGTACCATTAGACCTGCTATTCTGGATCTCTATGACAGTAAGTTTTAATTTTTTTTAAGCCATTGTGATGTCTTCCAATCATACTACCTCAAATGGCTTTGGTTGATTTCGCATAACAGTGAAAGTGTTGAATCTTTGAAAAAAAATATAGTAAAATTGAGAATATACACTGACACGGTGTGAAAACAGGATTTCTAAAAATTTTCACTATAAAAAAAACGCAAACTTACCTTGAAATTTTACAAGAAAACCGCTGTATTCAATAGGTACGTATTACATATACCCATGATTTTTTAATTTCAACTGAATTAAATAGAACACGCATACTATACGGTATACATTTTTCAAATGGCTTTCATTTCGTTTGTAAAATAATAAATTCTAAAATAAAACCAGTTTTTGCCGCCGCTCGACCTAAGCAAAACGAACCGTATTAGTACGGGAAAAATTTAAATTCGTGCTGAGGTAGCATAGACTCTTAATACAAAAGGACTTTTAACAATGAAATCCCTTCAATTCATGAAAAAATATCAATTATTCCATACTTTATATTGCTGCTTTTCAAGAATAGTGGCTTAAAGTAAATAGATATTTTTTTACATATTACTCATATATGCTTCACCCAGATTTTAACTCTGATTAAAATTATCACAAGGGAACATTACGTCAAATATAGGATTAATCGGCTTAGCGCGCCAAGTACGCTTGTTTTTTAGACTTTCTTCCTGATGATTTAGATGTGTTTGAGAAAGCCACTATTCTAGAAAGCCAAAAATAAAGACAGGTACTTGTCAATTTGACCAAAATTTATAAGACAGCCCATTTATTCTTAAAGATATTTCACTGTATACAGACACGTAAAGACAACAGTGGACTTACTGCAGGCTTATTGATGTAAATATTTAGTAGCTACTCGTGAATGAGTTCGTCCAGAGAAGTCCTGCCATCTTACCCATTTCTGCCGCCAAGCAGTAATGTGAGCATTAATGCGTTCCGGTATTGAAGGGCGCTGGTGAAATTATAACTAATAATTATATTCAATATACAGGCACATGAGATTTATCAACTTATGTCTCAGAGTGACGGACGCAATGGCAGTGTCCCTCACATGTACACGATGTAAAACTCTGAGTGACACTACAACTGCTATGGACAGGCGTGTTGCTTACCACCAGGCGCACGAATTGTGCGTCCCGACAATTGGTATCATAAAACTAATATCTAAATACATACTTTCTCAGGAACAGGATTCGATTGTGGTTGGGTGGATAATAAATTAGACCCAATAGCTGATCTGCGTTTCCAAAAACCACTAAGTCGTAAAACTTTGACCCCTGAAGAAAGGGAGAAGCATCTGAAGTTCTTGTATAACAAGAACTATGCACAAATGTGGTGCTCACATATGAAGAGACCGCCTACAGGGAAGAAGGTATCGAAGGGATGGCCGAATTGGGAATTTTGGGAGCAAGAATAATTTATGATTAGGTTACTAATGCTATATCGGGCAACCAGTTTGTGAAATGTGTAATGATTTATTAAGTTTGACAGATATTTCTGAGAGGTGATCTGATACAAAGTCAGAAAGAAAGTGTGACTGCTTTGTATCCCTTTCATTTTACGAGAACTGATGTCATTCTTAAGGCAACGAATGAAAGCGAATTTTTGTAACAAAATCACACACAGCATAAAGGATTTTATTTCAATTGTCTAACGTGCAAACTAGATAAGATACAGTTGCTGCGGGAATTCCTAAGACCGTGAATTCCGTTCAGTGGCAATGTAATCTGAGTCTTAGCGTCGTATTCTAGAACTCTACTCAATGCTCAAGTCAGGATTTGAGTATGGTTTAAAGCACTCGAAATCATACTCAAGTCCCTGCTATTAGGGTCAGTGCAATCCTGACTTGAGCATTGAGTAGAGTTCTAGAATACGACCCTTAGTCTAATCAGAATGTTACACATGTTATTAGTTTAATTTTATTTGAATTTAATTTCTTTGTTCTAATTTAGATTTACTTATGAATTATTTCGTTTGTTGTTCACGTTGTGAAATATACTTATTTTTTGTTTTTGTTTTTTTTATTTTTCCAAGAACGTAAACCAGAACAAGTCTTACGAACGAACTACTGACACTGGTGATAATCGCCGTAATTTTTATATTATTATTATAAAACTGGCACAAGCCTATCGCCATAAAGGAAATAATAATAAACCTTCCGTTATACCACAAATTTATTGAACTGGTTCTTCATGCGAATTTCAAAGAAACCTAGGTTACTTCTACTAGCATCGACAACTTTGACAAAAAGGAACCACTGATCCACTATTCTGTGGTGACCATATTTCAAGGCTGCGAAAGTAACGGCATCGAAAATTCGTACCCTTTATACAATAAAGGGCGCCTTCAAATTAAATGCTTATAAAAGAGCTGCAATTATGGCTTTGTAGTCGCGCCACTACCAATTTTCATACAAGATTTAGCGCGCCACTGTCATAATTAGTGGACAAAAAATTACTGAAGCGCTACAGGCGCGTACCTCCCACGCCACAGTCGTGCCACTGCAGCGCTAATAAAGCCACATGAGATGACATGTCAAAAGTGCTTTTATCACGTAATGACATATCAATGTCTCCAATTGTATTTAAGCTGCTTGCCTCCAATGAACACTACGCCAACGAATTTATTGTATATAATTTATTTTA